TTTGTAACATTTTACTTCAATTAAACAAATACATAAAAACAGGAAACAAAAGAAGTGTTTGCAATACACATGCAAGGAATAAGGAATGAAAACCAACATCTGTCAACATCTGATGACTCCATGAAGGAGAAGTTCCAGTAACACAGGACAGACTTTATTCCAAAGGCAGAAGAAGGGGAAGAGCTTTGGAAGTCAACAAAGAACTGATAGAACTTAAAGCCACAGAGAAGCAAAAGCCACGCAGCAAAATGTAGGAAACACCCTGCAGCTCAGCCTTGGCTCCTCATCAGCAGCAGGGAAAACCAAACCTACTTGATGCACAGGGTATGGTAGGCAGGCCTGCTGAGGAAAGGCTGGCTGTCCTATCCACAGGGTAAGGCCACGATTTTCACAAGTTTTAAATCTAGTTGGTGAGGCAGGGCAGCTTAGTGAGACAGAGGCTCTTCCTGAGTGGCAGACCAGGTTTGGAAAAGAAATCCACATCGTCAATTGCTATGATCTCTGAGTACAATAGCCAGATTCCATCTTCAGAGGGGTCTTTAATCTAGACTGAGCTCCTCTGAAGCTCAGACAGCTGGAGCTGGCTCTCTCCTTCGATCCACTGGGTCCTGGGAATCAAAATTGGGTTGTCAGGTCGTGCAGTCTCACCACTTCAATGGAAATGTTTCTTTAATAGTATAATATATCAAGACAGGAAGGACCATGCATAAAATATACTGTTTTATGCCACATGCTTCACTGAGTACAGTGATTTTAATAACTCTAAACAAAAGGTGAAGGCACCCTGTAAACATATCTGACAGTAATAAAAGTAACATTATGGTCTACGTTGATTAATTCCAGTATCTTAAATTCTAGTGCATCATTTCTCTTTTATGCTGTTGTCTTGGCTACTGTGTTTAGGATCCAGGGTTTCCTTTTGGCTGGTCAATAACTGTCTCTGTGTTTAATAGGAATAACTGACCATTGGATTATTTATTCATTTACTCCATTCACCCTGAGACCACTTGATTTTGTTTAAGTTCATGGCTTGAGATTCCCTAGACCTCTGTGGCTTGTTTACTTACAGCTTCCCTTTATCCGGAAGATATATGTGACATCTATTGATCGTACATCTCCCAGAAATGCCCTAGTTTTTCTGCTGCCCATCTCAATTCTCAAGAGCATTAAACCTACAGGCTGTGCTGGTAACACTTATAAATCCTCAAACTCTCAAGAAAATCAATATTAGAGTTGGAGAGATGGCTCAGTAATTAGGAGTACTGGCTGCTCATGCAGAGGACTTGGGTTTGGTTCCTAGCACCCATCTAGCAGCTAACAACCATCCATAATGCCAGTTCCAAGAGATCCAATACCCTCCTCTGGACTCTACAGGCATTTCACTCACTGGTGCATTTATATACATATAGACAAAATACTCATACACATAATAGAAAAATAAACCACAGATTTTTTTTCTTTAGTTATATTAGGCTATGCATGGTGGTGCAAGCCTTTAATCCCAGCACTCCGGAGGCAGAGGCAGGTGGATATCTATGAGTTCAAGGCCAGCCTGGTCTACATAGTGAGTTCCAGGACATCTGGGGCTACAGGGAGACCCTGTCTCAAAAAGACCAAAAAAATATTACCTTAGAAGGTTAAATCCTCCTCCCCTGTTCTCACACTCTCTGGTAATGCTCACAAAATGCTCATCCTGTGAGCCATCATTTGATGTTAAAAATGAACTTGTCATTTTATTACTTGTTTACTTGTGGTCATTAAGAGAGTGATTAAAAGACGAGTGTTGCCATTTCTGTAACCAAAAACGCAAAGATAAATTCCATGCACACTGGTGGAACACCGGATTCATGCAACTAAATGTATACGATACTCAGTTAAACACAAATGTCCTCACATTCTACAATCCCTGCTCCAGTAGTAGATTCTCAGTGAGAACTACACTGACCACTCCCTACCCTTGGCAACTGAGCCTCCCATACTCAGTTCTGTATATTTGTTTGGTCTTGTTTTAGGTTCATAGTACTCAACCAGTTCTCAGAGTATATATCACTTATTTTTTATTTTATTATTTGGGTCCTATAGTAGAAAAAAAGAGTCCATCTTTGACTGTTTATCTTTCATAATATTATGGGCCTCAAGTAGTGCCTGACATGTATAAATCATAGAATATAACTAAAAAGTACATGAAATGATGGAATTTTTTTCTTAAATAGTAAAGTTGAGAAAGGAAAAGGGAATAAATGAGGCAGTTATCAACACATGAAGGCTCACTGATACTCACACTCACAGATTCAAGGCAAAGACAGCCGGGTCTGCTCCAGCATGCAGACCAGGATATGGGTCTGAGCATACAATATTTCTAATATTTTCCTCTCCATACTATCAACATCGAATTTACAGGTTTCGTTCTCTTCTGGGAAACTGTGCTATTTTGTTTTTTTCCCTTGGTCTGTGGAACCTCAGCAATCTACTCATTCTAGTAGAAGAACTCCCCTTTTGGACCAACAAAGTAATCCACAGACAAATCAGAAATAGATCCCATGTTCTTTTCTCTGGACTCCATAACTTAGGAAAGGACCAGAAGTCATCAGCACAGATGAGAAGTCTGTGGATCTACCAGGTGCATCCCTCGTAACTAGCGTTTATACAAGAAGAATATTTACAGCAATTTTATTCTCCCATTGTTTCTAATAATTTCTCTAAAATGTTCTGTAACAACTACATTTATCCAGCATAGTTGTGAAAAAGCCAGTATTAGAACAGATTGTAGTTTTCTGCTTTATGTAACTGTTAATTGTTTTAATATTTAATATATTATTTTGTTTTGTGTGTATGGGTCTATTGCCTGTACATGTGTAGATGCGCTCACGTCATGCAATACCCTGGTAAGTCAGAAGAAAGCATCAGATCCCCTGGAACTGGAGTTACAGACAGTTCTTACACACCATGTGGGTGCTGGGAATCAAACCCAGGTCCTCTGCAAGAACAGTTAGTACTCTTAACCCGTGAGCCATCATCTTTCCAGCCCCTGTTAATTTCTTTAACAAGTTTCTAGATAACTTAGAAAACATGGGGTTTAGGAGGCGTCAATTCTTGAGGTGTGGTGTTGGTTGTTGTTGGTCTTTGGTGGGACATCATGGCAGAGTGAAACTGTGGAATAAAACCACTCACCTCATGATCAATACAAAAAGGAGAAGAAGAACGTGCTCAGTCCCAACATCTCCTTTAATGTCATGCTGCCAGTTAACTAGAGAGCCCCTCTAGGCTCAATCTCTCAACCTACCCAACATTTCCTAAGAGCACCACAAACACCAAGACATTTACAAATCTCCAAAAACTATAGGAAAATTTGGGGACCTGTAAGATTGGAATATACAAGAGTAAGTGTGGAAAATGGGGAAATCATGAATACAACTTCAAAAGCATTTGAACAGTTTACATTAAATATGATTTTTTCATGCTTTCTGTTGAAAGCTTAATCTGGCTCTATTAAAAGTGCCTTAAGATTAATCTCTTATTCATTATATGCTCTGAAATTTGACCCCTATGTTTACTGACTGACAGCATTCTTATTCACTAATAAGATACCAAACATTTAATTCAACCAAATGAGCATTCCTTTAAATATTATATCTAGACAATAACTACATCAAGCACTACAATATAACACAGGTCTTTAAGAAAATATTTTCCTGCCAAGCTGTCTCTTCAGAGCACCCTTAATCTCTTTGTTCCTCAGACTGTAGATGAGGGGATTCAACATGGGGATCACTACCATGTAGAAAACAGACACCACCTTGTTCTGGTCAGTGGAATAGTTAGACTTGGGCATCACATAAATGAACATGATGGTCCCAAAGAACAGAGTGACTGCAGTGAGGTGAGAGGTACAGGTGGAGAAGGCCTTGCGCCGACCATCAGTGGAGTGCATCTTCAGGATGGTGATGAGGATGTACATGTAGGAGATGGCTATGATAGACACTGTGGACACAATGATGAAGCCAGCAGTAAGTGTGGCAAAAAATATGGGGATTCTGTCATCAGAACAGGACAGTTTTACTAATGGAGAAAAGTCACAGAAAAAATGATTGATTCTATTTGGTCCACAGAAGTCAAAAGAAAAGAAGGAAAGGGTATAGGAGGAAGCATCAAGAAAACCACCTAAATAAGACCCTACAAGTAACTGCTCACACAATTCTGTGGACATTTTGGTTGAATAAAGCAGTGGACTGCAGATTGCCACAAAGCGATCATAAGCCATGACAGCCAGAAGGAAGCACTCAACGGTCCCAAAGAAAACAGCCGAGCCAAGCTGGATGCCACACCCAGTGTAGGAAATGGTCTTTCTCTCCACCAAGAAGTTCACAAGCATATTTGGTGTGACAGAAGATGAATAGCCAATGTCAGCAGAAGCCAAGTGACTCAGAAAAAAGTACATGGGGTGATGGAGCTGAGGAGACACTCTGATTAGAAAGATTGTGCTGAGGTTGCCAGACATGGTCATCAGGTAGATGCACAGGATGATGATGAAAAGGATCACTCGAAGGACTGGGTCGTCTGTTAAGCCAAGTAAAAAGAATTCAGTGACTCCAGTGTGGTTTCCTTCCCCCAGGAAATCCATGGGACAGTGTAGCTGCTGCCAGAACAAAGCTGTGATGAAAATATAACATGGCATAACTTAGAAATGGGTGGTTTCACATTTATTAATACATCTAAAATGCCACCATAAGTAATGATATTCAAAGACCAGTGAATCCTGACTTGTAAAGATGTATCTAACTGTGATTTTAAATTGAGTTTAGGAGAAACACCTGCAATATTCCTTCATCTAATAACTTTTTTCTTTATATTTTATTGTTTCCCCAAGTCCACCTTAAGTGACTTTAAAGCAATAATAAAAGTAGAAGACATTTTGATGCCGTCATCTGACCTCCACAGGCATTGCATTGCATTGTTGCACTTACATACATGCAGGCGATACATTCATACACAAAAAATAAAAATAATAAACATTTTTGCATCCTTACACTTTTAAATCTGCTGTTTAAATCCTTAAAGATGAACAAACATCCAGTGTCCCCCAAAGGTAGCATTTTTGCAGAGTATCAAGTGTGGATAATGCTGAAAGATCATATGCGCTTCTCTCTTGCATGTAGGTAAAGAGAAATCCTAACAATTTGGATTATGTCTGTTTCCTCCCATGAAATCCACAGTGGAAACAGAACAAGTCAGCCAGAATGGTTCATTAGCTGACAACTTGATGAGATCTGCCTTTTTCAGCACTGTGACTGTAAGGACAGATAAGTGAGGAAAGTTCTCACAAATTATGAATGAAAACCAGTAAGTCATTTTCATCAACAAAAGTGAAATTCTTACCTCCTGAAATGGATAATCATTCATCCTTCAGTAAAAAAAAAAGTCAAATTTATTGCGGTTCTATACACATCATTTAAATTTTGCTCTCCTTTGGGGATAAATCTCTGAAGATGCTAAAGATTCAACAGTGAATTGAAAAGCACTGTGGAGCATCATTATCTTCTGTAGTGGGCACTGAGCAATTCAATTCACAGTCAAAAACAACTAAGTTTCCAAGATTCTGTCAATTCTCAAGTGGTCAATTTAATATTGTGTTCCATTTAGGTGTTGATGCATACTGCATAATGTGCCTAAATTTCCTATGGACAAATAGCTCCAAGTTTATTTTGATAATTATTATTAGTGAATAACGTTAAACTGTAAGTGTAAAAGCTAACCCTGGCTTCAACTTTCAATATGTATTTATTGAGAAGTATTTTAGTTACCATCTGGAACATAATTCCATTGAGTGCCCTCAGGAAACATGAAGTAGAATTTAGTATAGAGTTGAGTTTTACACAGTTAAAAATGTTAAAGAGTGTTATTAACATATTAAGAATATCTTGAAAGTTGCACTGTAGACTGAAGACTATCTGATCTTTTGGAATTCATGAGGCCTTCAGCACCAGATTGGAACTACTGAGCCATCCCGGCCCATGGACTGAGCGACTACTAGATGCTCAGTCTCTCCAGTATGGTACAGCCATTGAGCTAATCTGAAAAATCCATATATATATATATA